TATGGCGCTTACTGATTTTTATGAACAATATAAAAAAGGTTGTAAAATGAAATATACTGTACACCTTTATAAACTTTACTTATCCCAATGATATGCTCTGAGAAATCAGATGTGGATTTAGAGATGAGATAGATCCATAATCCTTCTCTCTGGCAAGCACATGTACTTTAAAAAAGGATTAATGAAAAAATGTAAAACATGTATAGAATACCCTTTAATTACTAGTAAGTGATCTTTTAATATGCAAGTTAGCAAAAATAATTCTTTAAAGAGAGATAATTGTTATAGGGCTTATGTCTTCACTGGAGACACAGAGAGACAGAAAAAGAAAGAAACCCACCACCACCTTCAAGGGGGATGGCCATGCCAAAATCCCTTCTCTTCCATTCTCCTCTTAGGATTTTGGGCATGCATGTACACATGCTTGGTGTAAGATTCAAGCTGCTAGGTCCAGGACTCGAAACGTGGTCGACCATATGGAAGTCCAGTGCCTTAACCACTATGCCACCCGCTGGCTTTTGAATAAGTAAATACTTTCACTGGTTATAAAACAATAATGAAAAAATGATCACATTGATAATTTGTACTTAAATGACTACAAGAATATTGCTTACCAAAGTTTTTGTTAATAGAGTGAATAAGCAAACACAATTAAACTGTCATTACACACTAAATGGCTCAATCTAACAGAAGTATTTCTGAGTAAATAATAAACAGGGCAGGATGGAGGTGTAACAGAAAAACACAACATTCTTCAAGGCTGAACCCCATGAAAAATTCTGTGTTTGTGTTCAGAGACTTCCCAGGTATGCTGGGCAGCATGTGCCTATAACCATAGAGGCTGGCTAAAGCTGTGGTGTACCAAAACATTAAGAAACTGTTGGGGGTTATTTCAAGTTGTTGTAATATTATACCAACTGCAAGTAAGAGAAGTAAGGATAAGTGTATAATAAACAAAGAAAAGTAAGTATAATTCTGATTTCAGGGGTGTGAGGAAATACATATGGAAATACTGGGGCAAGCAGGTGGGTTGGTGGTTAAGGGCATTGGACTCTCACATGGCCAAGCATGGTTTGAATCCCAGACCAGGCAGATTTCTTTCTCACTTTCTCCCTGTCCCCTGGTCAAATTTAAATAAATAAATAAATAAATAAATAAATAAATAAATAAATAAATAAAATAATTCTTAAAGATGGAAAAGAAATACATTTAGAAATACATACATCTGAACAAATAATTTTCTTTATCAGAAAAAAATCCAAATAACAGAGTTAAAAAACAAGGAAGGAAACACAGGCAAGGGACACAGAGTAAGAAGACACAGGAGTTTTAGGGGTAAATATGGAGAATGTAACTGAAAACACCCTCATAAATGATATAGAGTGGATAGAGCACAAAAAATATGGCAGACTCTCTAAGATCCTACTTAAAATCTACTAACTGACATCAGTAATCAGAAATCAGACCTAAGAACTCTGATAGGCTATCATTTATTAAATGTATTGATTGGATATGAAAGCTTAGATGTTTATTTTCTGAATTAAACAACATGTTGACAGGAACTAGCAAAAATAAATAAGCTTTTATTTTAAATGTATTTAAATTTATTCAATATGACATGACGTTTCTCTACTTAAAAGGCCATCTCATATGTATTAGATGCTATTCTCATTCAAGTTCTTATTTTTGCAATAGTATTTTCTTCACACGGTCATAGATCTGTTTGGTTCTGACTCCATATATGACAGGATTGAGCATTGGTGGCACTACAACATAAAGATTGGCCAGCAGTATGTGGATATAGCGGGGAACATTTCGGCCAAACCGATGTGTCATAAAGGAAAACAGAGCTGGTGTGTAGAAAGCAAGGATTACAAAAACATGGGAACCGCAGGTGCTGAGGGACTTAAGTCGGGCTTCACGGGAAGGAAGACGGAAAACAGCACAGAGGATCTGAACATAAGAAAGGGCAATGGCTATGATGTCAAACACTAAGATTGAAATAGCACATAGTCCATAAATAATATTGACCTTGATACTGGCACAGGATAGACGAGCAAGACCCATGTGTTCACAATAGGTGTGAGGAATGACATGATTCCCACAGAAGGGCAATCGCAAAATGAGAAAGACAAATGGAATAACAGAAATAAATGACCTCATTAACACACCAAGACCAATCACAAAAACAGCCTTGTTTGTGAGGATAGTGCTATACCGGAGTGGGTTGCAGATGGCCACGTAGCGGTCATAAGCCATTGCCAAGAGGACTGCTGACTCCATGCCAGTGAAATTGTGGATGAAAAACATCTGTGTGAGGCAGGCTTCAAAGATGATCTCTTTGAGATTGATCCAGAAGATCCCGAGCATCTTAGGGATGGTAGCTGTTGAGAGGCCCAAGTCAATGGTGGCCAACATGGCCAGGAAGTAGAACATGGGCTGGTGTAGGCTGCTCTCAGTCTTTATCACAAACAGAATGGTGAGGTTCCCTGTGAGTGCAATCAAGTATACAGCACAGAAGGGGAAGCCAATCCAGATGTGAAGTGTTTCTAGTCCTGGGATCCCCAACAGTAAGAAGGAAGAGGGGTGAACCTGGGTTTCATTAGAAAGGAACATCGTGCATGGGCATGCAGAAGTCCATGGTACTTACAAATATCCAATTTACAGGACACCAGGTAAAACTCTCAGTTAGAAACCTAAAGAAAAATAGGAACATCACACAATTGTATACATTACATTTTCAGTTAATTTACACAACTAGAAAAATACTTTGGAGGTCAAATGGTGATATTGGGGTAAAATCTGATGCTCTTTGAGGCAATGCCACATGAGGGCGTTCTTCATCTGGTTCAAGTCCAGAAACCCCCTCCGAGTATTCCAGGTGCATATTGGCCCATGATGGGGGCTAGTTGAAGGCTGGGAAACGATTGCAGTAGGACCCTGTTGGGGTTGCTGTTTCACTCTTCCTCTCCCTCATAAGTAGAAATAAATAACCTTGAAAGAAAGATTCATACTACATCAAAAGCATTATGAAGTGGATTCTCAGTAAGAAGGCTCTTGAAGAAGTTATGCTATGTATTGTAACAAAACTAGTCTTTATGTTAATAGGTGTTGATGCCTTTTTTCCTATTAATTTACAGTGGTCTCTTTCAGAAAATCTTTCTAAGATTTTATCTTGATACCCACTTCAGTATTTACCTGCTCAAATCTCCATCAACATAATTTACTTTTGATTTTGACATATGCAGTGCTCTGCCAGGCCCCATAAATAGTGATTTATATTGGTTCCATTTGGCTAGATGATAATGCACAAATGTGAATACACAAAATGGGCGAAAAGTAGTCAGTGAACATACAGCTTAATTGAAATGTTATCTAAAAGATTAAAAGTAATTTCAAATGGTTAAAGTTGGCTGATTTTTAAAATATTTATCTTTAGTACTAGGAAGTAATAGTCAAAAAACACCATCAACAACCTTTGAAGTACTGCCTACTACTTGCAATGTTCTTTTGAAACCTGCACAAATACCATATGCAATCTTTATAAACATATATAAGAAGGTCCAGCAGAAGGAGTAATAATTATATTGTTGGTCTATCATGTAGTTGACCACAATTCAAGTCCTGTACCCAGAAACTTGAAACTTATGCAAGGCATGTGTGTATATGTACCCAAAACCCTGAGAGGAAAATGGATTGTGTTGTGGCCACCCCTGGGAAGTGATTTCTCACTTTCTGTCTCTCTGTTTCTCTCTCTTTCTGGTGAGAAAAAGAAAAAAAAACTCCTTAAAAGAAAAGAAAAAGAAACACATAAGAGAATACATTTGACCTGATTTTACAAAAATATTTATTTCAAAAAAAACCCAAAAAACAAAAATGTTTTCGAATAGTTTAAAAAACTCATCAAATGCTTGAAATGTTATAAAAAACTGAAAAGAAAGTTCAGAGGAAAGTAGTAAATTAGATTTTTCTTCTAATGTAATGGAAATAAGAAAAATATTTTTATATATATCCTTTGTATACAAAACTGTGTCATATTTACAAAGCTCCCTTTATCCATCTCCAACATTTCACAAAACTAATCTCCTGGGACCAGCAGTTAGTGTAATGGCTATGATGCTGAACTCCCATGTAGCTGACCGCGGTTTGAGTCCTGAACCCAGCGGCTTAAACTCATGGCAGGCGCATGTCGTGTATGTCCAAGATCCCAAGGAGAGGAGAATGGAGGAGAAGGGATTGTGGCATGGCCATCCACCCTGGGCGGTGATTTTTCCCATTCTGTCTCTCTGTCTCTCTCTGTCTTTCTGGTGAGCACATGTGCCCTTTAGCAAAAACCTCTCCAAAAAGAAAACAAACAAACCAAAACACCAACGAATCTCCTTTCCTCTCATACCTATCTAAATGAGAGATATCATCATCTTTTTCAAAATAAAACTAACTTACAGGTAAAATTGTATGTATTTATCATGTACTAATAATATTTTGCATATATATATATATACATTTTGGAATGGCTAAATAGCAAATTAATAAATATAATCTTCAAAAAGTTCATGAAAAGTGTATATGTTAGACAAAATGTACAAGGATTTCAGAATTTTTGCATCAAAATAAACTCATACTTTAATTTCATTTTTCCATGAACTTTTATCTTACCTTATTCGTGTGTATATTACTTTATATGGTTATAGTTTTGTGGTAAGAACACTTAATCTTTATTTTCTTTGTGTCTTCAAGAATACATGTTTACTAACCATTGTCACCATGATGTACCATTGATTTTTGCAGTTATTCCTTCTACTAAGTGAAATTTTGTATGTTTTGAGCAGCACATATCCTCACTTTTCATATCTAAAGCATGTATTTAAGATGCATGGCAGGGACCAGCAGTTAGGGTAATGGCTATGTCTCTGGACTCCCACGTAGTCGACTGTGGTTCGCGTCCCGGACCCGGTGGCTTAAACTATGCCAGGCGCGTGTGTGTGCATGCCCAAGATCTCAAGAGGAGAATGGAAGAGAAGGGATTGCGGCATGGCCATCCTCCCTGGGGGGGGGGATGATTTCTTGCTTTCTATCTCTCTGTCTGTCTGGCGAGTGCACACGCCCTATAGCAGAAACCTCTCCCAAAGAAAAGATGCATGGCAAAGGGTCAGCAGATGATGGAGCAGATGATGGTCTAGCATTGCTGGACTCACACATGAGCCATGGTGATTCAATTCCCATTTCCAGCAGCTTGAAAATCAAGCCTGGTGCATGTATGTGTATGCCTGAAATCTTAGGAGGAGGGATTGTGACATTTAAATACCGGGGAGCGGGGTGGTGGTGGTGGTGGTGATTTTTCACTTTCCCTCTCACTGTCTCTATCTTTCTCTCTCCAGGGAATACACATGCCCTAAGGCAAAAACTTCTAAAAAAAAAAAAGATGCTTGGCAAACATATCAAATAAAAGACTCAATAGAAGGAAATACTCTGAGCATAAATTATTAGGAGTCAATAAAATCTATTATTTTCAAAGTTAACTAACTGTTGTCATGTATTTTCAAGTGCCTTACTTATGAAATTTGTTAGGATATTTCAAAGCATTCGATCAGTCATTATATGTAAATGTTTTATACCAATGTTTCTTTTGATTATTTTATTTCCCTAGAGGATTCCAGAGTAGAAATACTAATTATGGACACAGTTTCAGGAAGATAACTATAATAACATAAATATAATATAATAATATAAGTATAATAAATATAATAATCTAAGTATTGATATGAGGAAAACAAAGCCAAGAAGAGGGTAATAATAAATGAGTAATGGTAGGAGCAGTACAATACAGGTAGGGAAAAAGGAGGAATGGTAAATATTTGAAAGAAAGCAAAGGTAAGCAAAGGAGATAGTTGCAGGGCAGATGCCAAGAAGTGTCTATAAGAACAGTTTTCCTCTGTAATGTGCTGACCTTATAATAGAACAGTGGGGACCAGCAGTTGGTGTAATGGCTATGGACTCCTATCTAGTTGACCACAGTTTGAGTCCCGGACCTGGTAGCTTAAACTCACACTGGGTGTGTGTGTGTGCGTGCCCAAGATCCTGAAAGGAGAATGGAGGAGAAGGGATTGCGGTGCGGCCATCTCTTGTGATTGAATGCAAAAGAGAAAATGAAATAAAAAAGGAAAATTATAAAAACCATATTTTTACTTTATCAACCAAACTATATGCAATAGAATCTGAGTAATTAAGAAAATCTTTTAGCTATTACTTGAAGAGATGGTCACTAAAAGAAAAATCATTAAGCAATATCTGTATTTGAAAGAGGGAGAAATGGCATTATATTCTGTAGTTACAAATAAAATAATGAGGAAATTATCTCTCAACTCATATAATTATACCTGCAGTACAGTAGTGTCTGAGTAGTTAGTTAAGCAGAGACAGTGATATAACTACTAAGTAGAAATATTAAGTTATCATAAAACTCATGACATTTTTTTGATGCAAAAATGTGTAGGGACTTTTCCAACAACCCAATAATTTGAAGACATATTCAGAATAATAATATTGTATAGTTGTCTATCATTATCACTCACTCAGTGAATTAAGTGACTAGATTAGGAATCTGAATAGTATTCTCTTTGCTCCAAACACTATAATACAAAAAAGAAAGAACAACAGCAAAAAACCCTATTGACTTCACTTTTCTGTATCTTGAAAATCAGTACATTTGTCTTCATCCTTATAGGATAAGTTTAAATCATTATCATGTCATTTGATTCCTGCATGGTATTTTACAGTATTGAAAAGCATGAATTCTGCACTCAGACTAATTGTATTGAAATCCAGCTTCATGGTTCATTCACTCTATAGTCAGAAGTAAATAAATATTACTTACTGTGTGACTTTTCACACACACACTTAAACATATCTATAACTCATTTTATTGATTTATAAATAGATATGCTACAGGCAAATATCTCTTAAATACGTTATTAGTTTTAGAACAGATAATACTTTTGAAACACATCAAATCATGCTCCAAAGATATGTTATTCATCATTCTTTAGATAACAAGTAGACTAATTTTTCTAAAAGACACACCAGAGAGATTCAATCTAAAATCCAAATGCTTTTATTAGTAATGAATGTCCTCTATTAACCAGAATCCTATTTTTCCCCAACATTCACACTTAGTCCTTGTTTTCTCAAAATATGGGCCTTATCTTCTGTCTTCCTTTTCTAATCTCTCCTTTTCCTTTGTGCATCATTGAACTCTAAGGGTGCAACTGGGAGATGGGAGACTCACCATGCTGAACCCAGGATGAGTCCTGTCTCTGTTTCTTCTCAGCTCTCCTTCTCTTTAAAGGCATTACTCACTCCTGGGAGGAGCTTTCCAACCAGAGCAAGTGCCAGAGAGGACCCAACATCTCTGAGGATCCTGCTTTCTAATCTGACCCTGTCTGATCAAATGAGAGCCATTGGAGATTATAGGATTTTAAGGAAACAAAGGCAAAAAAAAATGAGGTCTAGGTCTGCAAAATGATATAATAGAAGTTCTATCCTTCCTCCTCCCACTTAAACACTGATTTAATAGTCTTCTGTGGGCAAAAATACCTTTATGAGAGCTCTAGGGTATAAGTGAGAGATTACAACACTTGGTGGAGCATGGCATGAGAAAAGACACAGAAGGGGTAAAATGTAGAGTTTCACTTACCTGACAGGACTTTCCTGCAAACATAGCACAACGCATTGTCCAGACTCTTTTCCTGCGGGAAATACGGAGCAAAGAAAATATGGTTAGATTATCTAGACAGCAATATCAATAGATATAGATACAGATACATAGAGACAGATATAGATATGCAACAGAAACCTATTAAGACTTTAAAATGAGGGACCAGCAGATGGCGTAACGGCTACGTCGTTGTACTACCATGTAGTAGATGCAGTTTGAGTTCCACTCACTCTGGGCATGCGCACCCAACCCCAAAAGGAGAATGGAGGCAAAAGGATTGTGGTGTGGCCATCCTCCCTGGGGGGGTGATTTATCGCTTTCTGTCTCCCTGTCTTTCTGGTAAGCACACATACCCTATACCAAAAACCTCTCCAAAAAAAAAAGACTTAAAAATGTTAAAGAAACTGTCATTTGTGAAAACATGGATGAACATGAAAGATATCATGTATCATGTTAAGGGCAATGATCCAGGCACAGAAAGACAAATAGCACATGAATTCACTTGTATATGGAATCTAAAAAAATTGAACTTACAGAAACAGAGAGCAAAATGGTAGTTACAAGAGGTTCGAGGTATAGGGGTTAGGGACATACAGGTAAGGACACAATACTTCAGCTATACATTATTATAACTACATATAATTTTTTACTTGTCAATTCAAAAATAATTAAATAAGAATGAGTGAGCCTGCCCAAAGACATACACATATACACAAACTATCAATATTTATTATTCTCAGTAGTTATTTATACTCTATAATGTTGCTGTAAACACTGATTTACCAGTGGGAAACCTCATTACTGATAGAGGAAATAAGGAGTTAAGTTCCTAACAACCTCCAGTCACATCATTTTCGTTTGCTAGTGTTTCTGTTTAAAGACATCTTATTTATTAAAAGTAAGTAGTTCTCAGAAAGAATTAATTGCACAGTCTTTAAATGACTTAAAACCGGAGGCTTTGAGAGCCATTTGCATTATATATATTCCTTTACCAAAATCTTAGTATAAGTAACCAATGGAATTAGCATTAAAAACCTGCTTTTCCACATAATTTTCTTCCTATAAAACACTTAGCAGGCTTTCTAAAAATTCTTCTACAGCATTTTGATAATAGAACCTGCTTCAGTTGCAAGTTTAACATTATTAACAGTATTACTGCTACTTGTAATGTTCAACCCAACTAGCACTAGTAAGAAAAATGTGACATTCTCACCATGGTTAATTTAAATGTCAATTTTTCTGGTTTTCGCCTTCACAGAAATGTTGTCCACTAGACTTCTTTTTACTAGTTGATATCTCATGAAGCTATAAATTTGCTCTCTTTTTCATCTGTCTAAAAAGCAAAATTTCAACAAAGTTAGTTTGAAGATCTAAGTGGTTATTAGTAGTGATTCATGAATGTGCCAGTATCTTATCAAAACAGACATTCATTGGGCAGGCAGAACAATGGGTCTTGTAAAGTAGATTGAAAAGAAAACAGAATAATACAAAATACAACAGAAAAACGTAGATTCTTAATATCAGGTAACTTCAGGTTACAGGTCTTGTAAAGATTACAACAAAGAAATCTTATCATTCAGGCTCAGGTAGATTGGACAGGAGTCTGATTGGCTGCTAAGAGTCTCCTACTTAGAGCAAAAAATGTTCTGGTTAGGGATTTTCCTGTTTCCTCAGAGTTTTAGTTTGATTATGTAGCACATAGCACAAATTACTCCATTTGGTTTGGTCTGTGGGAGCTCAGTTCAGAACAACAGCCTCCCATAAATTTTACCTAAGATGTATTTCCCATACCTTTATTATATGGTATAGATGTCACATTAGTTCTCAGAGTGGCCTCACCTATAGATAGGCAAACTCACTCTTCTTTTCTTCTAGAGGATATATTTGTTGATTCATTGACTTTGAATTTACAACCAACAACACCATTTCTCATTTCTGGACAAAGGCTATCTACAAAGCTAATTTCTCCACAAAGCACCTGACATCCTTCTTACAATTGGACACTTGAGGGCACTTCAGGACTATGTTGGGTGCTATTTTAAACAGCAATATCATCAACAAAAATGAGAAAAGTGTGACATTAAACAGACTCCCAAAAGGACTCTATATTATGAGAAATGAACCCACATGTCAGAACCTTACCTTGTCTAACCTCAGCTGAGAACATGCCTATCAAAAAATTTTCAAGTTCTTGCAATGTCTGCAAATGACTGAAATTACCACTAGTATTAATCTTAGGTTAAAAATATATTTTAGGCAATGTAATACACTATAAAGTTATATGTAATCCACTGTAATATAAACAAGATTATGATGATAATTAAAAAAAAGAGTGATGTAGAAGACTACTATTGGCAAAATATGGTAGCTATGTTCAAATAAAGCATTCTTTATAGACACACACAAAAAAAGCTGATTAAAAATATAAGTATAAAGGGAACCAGCAGTTAGCGTAATGGCTATGTCACTGGACTCCCACGTAGTCGACTGCGGTTCGCGTCCCGGATCCAGTGGCTTAAAACTCACGCCAGGCACGTATGTGTGCATGCCCAGGATCCCAAGCAGAGAGTGGAGGAGAAGGGATTGCGGCGTGACCATCCACCCTGGGGGGGTGATTTCTCGCTTTCTGTTTCTTTGTCTCTCTCTGTCTGTCTGGCGAGCGCACATGCCCTATAGCGAAAACCTCTCAAAAAAAAATATATGAGTATAAGAAAATGTATATATA